AGAATTTCATCCATCAAAGCTTATATAAGCTTCAGCCATTCACCCTTTGCACATCCACACCATTTCCATTCTTTTTCACAATATAAATAATCTGGCATTTGAAATATGCCATCTATTTCCTGATCCTAGCTGAGATGATTCAGCAGTCCTGACCCTGGGACCACGCTGTGCTCCGTTTTTTCCCTCTATGAATAAAAAGCCGCTGTATTTTTGAGTTCCTACCTTGTTTTCTGTGACAATGGAGCTTGTCTTATTTACGGGAAACTGAATACCTTGTCAAAAGCTCTTCAAAAGTCCAAATATGATTTGTTGTTTTAAATTCCCTAGTGCTTTATACAGGCCTTCATTTCCCAAATTCTAGCATAGAAAAAATAGATCTGACACAGATTTTAGCTTGTTTGTTTCAAGTTTGATTTTCCAGGACTTGTTCATCAAATCCTCATTAAGAGTTTTCATTAATAGCCATAGCTTGACTCCTGTGCTAATGAAAAATGACAGATTGGGGCTGGAGCATCCTACATGGTGGGAAAAGAGAACCAGGGGGAAAAAAAGAGGTTTCAACTCTTATTAGGAAAGATACTCAGTGTAACTTCATAAAACTACTCAGAGAACTTTTTGGGAAGTTCTTCATTCTGCCAGCTAGGGAATTCCCTAATGTAATTCCCAACAGTTGCTAGAATCAGAGAAATAGACACACAAAACAATATGGGAAGGTTTGCTTCAGTCTAGAAGTGCCACCCATTTAGAAAACAACTTTTGGCTCAGAATATTCCCCATGAAGCCAAAGCACAATCTCCATGGGTTCAGTTCTGTGCATGACAACAATAAAAAAGCAAAAATTTTTTAAAATCTACCAAAAAGCCAATCATGACAAAGCAAAGATGGACAGAGGAATAAGCCCAGGGTTCAGCTCCCTGGGACTTTGTGGATTTCTGTTTCCCGCTGCAGATGTAGGTTTATATAGGTTTGGTTTTTTATCAGAAATCACCACAGAGCTTTGTCATCACCTGGTGAGGATCAGCTGTGTTGGTTACCCTCTAAATCTCTTTGTGATTCATCTCTTATGGGCACAGTCCCCTTTACAATTTTCCCTTTTATTTTTTTAGCAGTGATTTCCTCTATCCCATGTAATCCCCCTTTTCTTTCAGCTGGTGCTCTGTGCCCTCCACCTTCCCCAAGCCCTGTCCCACACAGAAATTTTGTTTTGTGGGTTTTCCCCAGAGAGAGAATGTCAGCTGCATTCCTCCTGCTTGTTTGCTGTCTCCAGGATTTCTTCATCTCCCAGGCCACAGGATGCACATCCAATTTATTAGACTGCAGCAATTACATAAAAAGTTCATGGCATCCAGTTGTTGTTTGGGAATTTGATCTGACAGGAGCAGAGAGTTCTGGGCTGTTTGGAAAGGGAGTTTTGGTGCAGGGGGAAGGTTTGTGAAGGTGGAGGCAGCTGAATTTGCTGGTAAAGAAACACAAAATGTCCAATATGGAGTGACATTTACATGGGATTAAGGTAAACATTTGACATCCAGTAGCCTCTTTAGCATGAGGACTGCAAACCTTTGAGCAGCAGCCACAAATTCGTTTGCTGTGGAAAAAAAAATTGCATTGGGAAGTAATGTGGATCAGAGAAGTAAATTTTCCGTCATGATAAGCTTTAATATGGAGCCAAGTTTAAAAAAAAGAAAAAAGAAGAGTGGGTAAAAAATCCCTAGATGGTTTATCTCATTATTATTAACATTCTTTAATATTTACCAGGCTCTCTAAGCAAGCCAGGCTGTCAGGGAGGCACTGGACCACAAAGACAGATCCAGGTTTACTCCTGGGAGCTCACTTTAGCTCTCATCCTGCAAAGAGGGTTGATAGCAGACATGTTTCAAAGGGCTGACAGTTGTGAAAAGGCTCAAAACCTCAGGAATTCAATAGCTGTGGACTGTTCTTGCAGCTTAGTTTGGGATTTTCAGAGCTCTCCTCTTCCACCTCCCCCTGGTGTTTTTTGGTTCACCCTGCCTGTGAGGCTCTGGGAATGAAAAATGTGAGAATGGGTAAGAAAGGTTAAAAATTAGAGGAAAAATATATATTTTGGAAGGTATTCAGAAATCTGTTTTCAGGTTGAGTCCCCCAGCTCTCAGAGGATGTTTGCTCATACCTGCCTGTAACCACTAGGGTACAGAGGTGTGCTACTGCAGGAGGATCTGCTGTACATAAACTGCATTTTTTTTTCATTGAATCAGCCCTTAAATCAGTTTGATGTGCCCATGCATATTTTTATAAATCTTAGATTTTTACAAAAACATTTTAAACCCTCTCTCCAGTGCTCTGCTATGTTTTGTTCTCAGGAGAAAGGCACATCAGCAAAAAGGGCAGATTAAAGTTGGTAATAAATGAATAACTGGCCTTAGTGTCTAATCACATCAGTCAGAGAAATCTGCTGTGCTAAAAGTGATAATTCAGTGATGAAGTAGATTTTTCTACTTACCTATTGCCTTTGAAATCTTGGATTTAGTCTTTGTTAGCTCAGAAATGGAAGGGAATTGGTCATGTTCCCATAGCACCCGTGCTGAAAGACATTTTCTGGCAGCAGTGACTGTGTTTGGTGAGGATGTGCAGAACATGAGAGCAGGAAAATCATTTAAAATCAAAGTGCCTTAGCAGAATAGTAGGTGCTGTTTGCCAAGCTCAGATGTGCACAGTATTAATGTATTAATCCTTTAGCACTGCCACCTATCCCTGATTTTTATCATATTTACATATTTGGGGTTTTAGGAAAGGGAGAGATGGAGGGAAAGGTGAAAAGCTGGTGTTTGTTTTCAACTGAATTTCTTCTCTTGTGATGCAAATCTGGGACTTGAAGCTCAAACTCCTTTCAGTGCAGCCTCTTCCCTTTGACTGTCCCCCAGCTACCACCCCAGCAAAGGGAATAAGAACAGTAATTGCTTTAAAGCCTCAAGAATTGTGCCTGAATGCCAACAAGTTACGTGATCTTAATTAAAAAACCAAAAAAACAAAAAACAGAAAAACCCCAACAAGACAAAACTAAAAACCCCCAAAAATCCAACTGCCCTGTTCTCACAGAAATACAGATTTCATTGCAAGTGTGTTCACTTTAGAGCAGACAGGGTGCAATAAAATTACAGTGCTCTGCAGCATTCATCTCAGCTCTTCACAGCCACCCACCCAATTACAAGCTGTGTCTTGCCAGCAGAAGACTGTTGCTTGGTTTCTGTATTATTTTTATAGCTTTGCTTTCCTCCCCATAACTTTAGAGGTAGGCTGTGCTTACTCCTTTCCTTTCACCAGGTTTTTCTTCTGCTGTTAAAAAAAAAAATTAAAAAAAAAAATTGGCTGGTATGGAAAGTCTTTCGCATGGCTCTAAATGTGATTTGGTTTTTAATGTAGAATATGCTCTGAATAGTTGTTTCTAATACCTTAATAGCTCTGGTTTATGTCAGTAATTATATGAAAGGTTAATCTTTAAATCACCAGCATTTCCTAAATTCCTAATCAACTTCATGCTTGGAAAGGAACTGGCATAAATGCTCAATTTGTTAATATTAGCCTGGGTTGGGCAGGTCAAGGAAAAGCATAACCTTGGTGCATAATGGTAAATTGAACACAGCAAAAATATCTCGGATCTGTTTGTCATTAGAGCTGTGAATGTGAAAGCTGGCTGTGAGTGTGGATATAATTAGCAGGAGAATCCGCAGTAGCTCAAGATCACCCATCCCTCTGGGTGAGGGCTT